GGTGAAATTGATGGGTCTTCTCGCAAATTGAGAAGAACAGGTTTTCTGATGAAGTGTAGTAGGTGTAAGAAAGCAGGACATTACAAATCTACTTGTAAGGACACAACAACTCAACAACCTAGCCAACAATCAGCCCAACTCAATCACACTCCATCTCAGACTGCTCAACAAACTAGTCAACACACTCCATCTCAGACTGCTCAACAAACTAGTCACCACACTCCTACTTCAACAAGTCATCCTACTCAACAATATTGCCAAGCATCTCAGACTTCTAATGGAAAGGTTTCTAAGGGCAAGATACAAAAGCTGCCTGTAAGGAAGCCAACAAGACCTTTTGTGCCACCTGGGCCTACAACTAGGTTGAGTGCTGCGAAGAATGTGGTAGGCCCAGTAACAAAGAGGTCTACTCCAACAAAGAGGATCACCCCAAAGAAGAAGCTATAAGTTGTGGAACATGTGAATTTAGTTACCTAGAACAAGTTTATGTATTTTACTGCTGTCGTTTTAGAACAAGTTTATGTATTTTACTACTGATGTTGTCATGAACAAGTTTATGTATTTTACTACTGATGTTGTACTCTACTGCTGTCATGAACAAGTTTATAATTTGGAACATGTTGTACTCTACTGTTGTCATGAACAAGTTTATAATTTGAACATGTTGTACTCTATCGCTGTCATGAACAAGTTTATAATTTGAACATGTTGTACTTTACTGCTGTCATGAACAAGTTCTACAGTTGTTGTATTCTACTGCTGTCATGAACATGTTGTTTTTGGAACAAGTATATTTTGTGGAAAGTATTACAGGTTTATGTATGCCGATGTTATTGTTTATAGGTATTATGTAATGAACCTAAAAGCAGAACCAACTTATATGTATCCTGCTGTTATATACCAAATATGCTGCTATATACCAAATAGGCTGTTATATACCAAATAGGTATTATGAAATGAACCTAAAAGCAGAACCAACTTATGTATGCTGTTGTTGTTGTTTATAGGTATAATGAAATATAATCCAAACTGTTATATGTATGCTGCTTCATGTATGCTGCTGTTAATACCAAACTGTTATATAACAAATATAATCCAAACTGTTATATACCAAACATAAAAAACTATTATATACCAAACTGTTATATAACAAATATGATCCAAACTGTTATATACCAAACATAAAAAACTGTTATATACCAATATACTCCAAATATATCATTGACAGACCAAAACTGTTATATACCAAACATAAAAAACACTTTGACATGATATAATCCAAGACACTTTGACATGATATAATCCAAAACTGTTATATTCATGTGAATTATTCTTTGAAAGACCAAATTAAAACACTTTAACATCCAACTATTACATTCATGTTGAAGTGATATAAACTATTACATGTTGAATTGCAAAAACTGAAATTAACTAAATTGATACAATCCATATATTAAAAACCAACTATTACATTCATGTTGAAGTGATACAAAATTTAACATAACATAATACTTCCAAACAAACCGTAATAACCTAACTACCCCTAACAACTAATACAACGATAATCATCACAAACATCAAATTCAAAATCTTTTTCCACTTCACGATATTCTTCATTTCAATTTTAAGTTTCATCAGCTTTTTTCCTAATTCTTCATTCTCCATTGTCGCTTTTTCAATGTCCTTTTTTACTTTAGCAAGTCCCTTAGTTACCACACATAGCCTATGCATCCAAAATTGCTCATTCTCATCATCCACTCCTCATAAAACCAATCAAAGAAGCCACAACCAACTTGCATACCTCCCTGTAAGTTTCATTGTTTAGAAGATGATGGATAATGAATTTAAAATTAAACAAAAGTATAACTTATAATTTAGACAGAAACATAAACATAACTTAATCAAAAACAGAACTTCAACAGAGAACAAAACCAGCTTGCATACCTTATAATTTGGACAACCCCAAATTTTTTTTCCATTAACAGTAGTTGCCCTTTGAAGAACAACCATGTCTCCACAATGTCACATGGGCTTCCATCGTGACTGACTACAAACATCCGAATCCCGACTTTTCATTTTTGAAATGGAAGAGGAACATCCGAATTTCATGCTTGCCAAATAAAAAAACCCTAGATTAACGTTTACAGATTTGAGATTGGGATTGGGATTTGGGATTTGGAATTATTTTAGGGATTTCAACGGAAGGTGGAGGGAGAAGGAAGCCACATCATGAACAAGATTGCCATGTCATCTGCCATATATACAAAACTAACGGACGTTTGGGGGCAACTGACAGTGAGGACTAAAATGACACCATTTTAAAAGTTAAAGGACCAAGTTGCCACTTTTTAAAGATAAGGGACCAACATGGACCCCGAGTTAAAGTTAAGGGGCTAAAAAGGTTATTTTGCCTATGAAAAGTGTATTAAATTTTGTTGAACGTAATGTGATAAGTTAAAACTTTTTTAATCACTCAATAATAAAAAAATTGTTCTAAAATAATTATTTATGAATTTTTTCAACTCTGAATATCACATAATTTATATAAGATAATAAGGATAAAAATGTAATTTATCAGTAAAATTCCCTCATTTCCCTCGTTAACCAAACCTATTTTTTTAGTGAAATCTCTCTATTTTCCTCTCTTCCCCTCTGTTGAACCCAACATATATACTACAATCCTTTTTAAAATGACTATCGTTTAAGGTTTTTGCACACGGATTAAAAAATACAATGATATTGTCATAAAAAGTTACACTTTTACTAAATTATCCTTACTAATACATTGGAAGTTATGTAAAGAGTAATAATTAAAAGATATAATTGAAAAAATAACAATTATTTTTACATTGAAAAGTGAGAATGACAGTAACTTTGAAACAAATTTTAGTAGATAGAACGACAATTATTTTGAAATGGAAGAAGTATAATTTAAAAAAAGTGAACCTAATTTAGACCAAACAGATCAGAAATCTTAGTGAACCTAATTCACCTAAATTTTTGTAAAAAAAAGTGATAAATGAAAGAGAAGATTTTCGTGAGTTTTTTTTACCCAAATATTCCAATTTTCTAAAAATTCTCAAAATAACCCACATTTCAAATTATTTTCCAAACTATCCCTACTTTCCAAAAAAAAACATTCATCAAAACATTTGCGCCAAACCAATTGGAGTCTGCAACTAAATTTTAAGAGATGACACCAATTGGATTGGAGGCTGCACCTAGTGTTGCTTATCCAATTAATGCCTATGTATAATGTTATAGTACTGACGCTAATTGCCTTGGCACTAGTGTGTGTTGTGTTTTTTTAGTATAAATAGAGGTGCCTATTACCATTTCAACACCACACCTCTTTTCATAATCTTTTTTCTTATTATCAGTAGCTCTATCATGATCGCTAAAAGAAATAGACATGTAATTTATTTGCAATGAAGCCTCCCATGAAAGTGTTTTTTTAGAACCTCTAAAGTTTCGAGCATCTTAAAAGGTGTTTGAAAAGTTAGTTAAACAGAGAGATTAATGATGGAGAAAAAATTAGAAGTATCGAGAGACTTGTCTCTTACATCTCAATTGCAGATGACAACAATAATATGTAGAGAACATGAGTGCGAGTTAGAAATGACAGTGATGTTAGGGATATGATGTCTGCATCAGATGATATTGTTTTGATTGTTGTCATCTCTTAGATATGTTGTGGTGTTATGTCTTAAGTCTTGTATTTGTTGTTTGTATTGTTGTTTTTAAGTGTGTTTAAGTTGGTGTGATGTTTTGTATTAACATTGTTGTAACAAAAAGTTATTAATATATCAAAATCTAAGGTTACAAAAATTGAAAGGAAAACTAAATTATAATGCAGAGGTTGCTCCGACATTGGAACAAATTTTCTGATTGTGCCCGGGCTGACGATATATACTACATAATCTTATCATTTTATCAATCGTATCCATTTCTTTTCTAATATGCATGTTGTTTGAGCGATCCATTTTCTTTCTTTGCATCTCATCATTGTGCCAAATTATGTCTCCTTGATATGGAAGCCAATATTCATCCATTGTTAGCACTGTGAAGCTTTCATTGTAGACATTCATAATGTTAATGGTCTTGTAAACATCAAATAGAATGTTGTAAGCGTCTTGGCGGGTATATGCGCATGTCGCAATAACATGGAAGCAAGGTGCACGGAAGACCTGAAACTTGCCACAGTCGCACCAACTTTTGTTTAGTTTGATAGCATATGAGGCCTCCCCTCATTATGGTTCATTGTTTCATGTACACTGAAAGTTTGTCTATGACGATCAAAGATTGTAACCGCATGTGTGCTAACTTTGATAATTTCCTCTTTCATCACCTTCATGCAGCATTCACTGAATAATTGACTGAACTTCTTAGGGAATCTGGTGATGGTGATGGTGATGTTCTTGGGTCCTCAAATCCTCAAAAACTTGGGGTGAATCGACAACGTGGGCTAGGGCCACACATTAGGGTAGTTAGGAGATGTGGAACCGATAATCAGTTGTGTCATCCCGGTCAACAATATTAGTACTTTTGGTTTTCGCATGTAAACGTAACCTAATATTAATATTAATATTTCCGATTCTGACTCTTATATAAGATGACAATCATTATAAAAAAACACAACACACACTAATATCAAGTCAATTGGCGTCAGCACTATAACACTACACATATAAGTCAATTGTATTGGTAACACTAGGTACAAACTCTAATTCAATTGGCACACCTCTTCTTAAAATTTGTGGGTGCAGACGCCAATTGATCTGATACTAATGCTTTGATAATTTTTTGTTTTGCAAATTGATAATTTTTTGTTTTGGAAATTGCTATAGTTTGAGAAATAATTTGAAATGTGAGTTATATAAGATAAGATTAAGAAAATACTCCTATTTGATATAAAGGTTTGAAAATTTGAACATATAAAACGAGACTTCCAAATTTCCAGTATGAATGCTAAACTCGTTAGCTGTGAAAACGAAACAGAAATGAAGATTCCAAAGACGACGAGTAATCGAAACTCAGAAGAATCATTTCTAGTTCAAAACGCAGACCTAATCCTCCCATGGCTAACCCATCAACAACTCGCCAATCTTTCCCTAACCTCCAAATTACTCCACAAACTCACTCAAACCCTAACCCTAAATCGTATCTCCGACGCTTCCAGAAACTTCGAGAATTTCCCAATCCCATTCCTCAACAACAACAACAATCACAATCACAATCACCCTTACTCATACTTTCTCTACACACCTTCACTTCTTCTCTCCAGCACTAACTTCCCTCGTTACCAACCATGGGGTGGCAATTCTGTAATTTCAACGAACCTTAAAACGATTGATAATAATGATAATGATGAATCAGTGAGGTTTGTTGATGTGGCGGGTTGTGATTGCGGTGAGGTTTGTGGTGATGGGTGTGTGTGTTTCGGGTTTTGTGATGATGTGGGAAGGGAATGTGGGCCGGGTTGTTTTTGTGAAGTGGGGTGTGGGAATAGGGTGAGTCAGAATGGGGTTGCCGTTAGGGTTAAGATTGTGAGGTGTGGAGAGAAAGGGTGGGGGTTGTTTGCTGATCAGGTTATTTCTAAAGGACAGTTCTTGTTTCAATATGCAGGTAAGTGCTTGTTTGATTGATTATTGAATTATCATAGAGTTGATTGTGATATAGTATAATTTAGTGTTTTCAATTCGAAATGACTTTTTCACTATAATTGATTCTATTTTGAAGCTGAAATTTGGAGAATTTTTTTTTTTTTTGAAGTTAGAATTGATTTTAGAATTAGAGTTGATTATGATGTGTTTTTATGTTTTGAGTTGCATTGAATTTTCCATTGGATTTGATTATAATATGAAGCTGGAATTCGAGTTTTTTGTTTGTATAATAGAAGTTAGAATTGATTTTAGAATCATAGAGTTGATTATGATGTGTTTTTTTGTATTTTCTAGTTGAATTTTCCATTGGAATTGATTCTAATTTGAAGCTGGAATTTGGAGTTTTCTCTCCATGGTAGAAGCTATAATTGGTTGATTTTGATGTGTTTTTACTTTTTTGCAAGTTGAATTGATTTTCCCTCCCAAATTGATTTTAACTTGGAGCTGACATTTTGAACCTGTGCCTTCATAATGAAATTTAGGATTGATTCTAGAGTCATTAAGTTGATTCTGATGTGTGCTTTATTGTTGATTTTCTGAGTAGAATTGATTTTTCCTCGAGAATTCATTCTAACTTGAAGATGGAATTTGGAGTGTTTTTCTTCCATAATAGAAGCTAGAATTGAGTGTAGAATCATAAAGTTGATTATGATGGGTTTTAGTGTGTGATTAGTTCTAAGGTGAAGAAAATTGATTTTGATTGAGAATTTTAAAGTCCATAAATATAAATTGCTCGTAGACTTGTGTTGGGGAAGAAGTCGATAACTTGAGAACGTCTCTTATGAAGTAGAGTAATGCAAAACAATTCGAATTTAGGTTATTAGCTAAGATACCTTTGATACTTTGAATTATATAGGGAATTGAAAGACACTTTATTTTGATGTTGATGCTCCTAAGATGGTAAAAACTATCTTCTAGTGTTTGCTAATGTTTATGTGACTGTCTGATAAATTCTCGATTCTTTTAGTTTTGTTTTTAATTTTTATGCATTAATGCTTTGTAAAGTTAATTTGTGGTTTTCTTTTCTGTGTGAAAAGGTGAACTATTGACAACCAAGGAAGCACAAAGGAGACAACAACACTACGATGAATTGTCATCACATGGTCATTTCTTTTCTGCACTTTTAGTTGTAAGGGAACACTTGCCATCTGGAAATGCATGTTTGAGATTGAACATAGACGCCACAAGAATAGGAAACGTAGCACGGTTTGTAAATCATTCATGTGATGGCGGTAATTTAAGCACAAAGCTAATTAGAAGTACAGGAGCTTTGTTCCCACGCCTTTGCTTCTTTGCTTTGAAAGATATCCAAAAAGATGAAGAACTTACTTTTAGCTATGGAGAAATCAGGAAAAGGTCTAACGGGTTGCCGTGTTACTGCAACAGCCCTTCTTGCCTTGGAACATTGCCGTCAGAAGACACTTGAAAGTTGAAACATGTAGGAATTTTTATTTTGTTTTTAATGAAATGAGGAGGGGCCCTCATTTTGGGGGTTGAGATTGTGTGTATTAGGAAAGGGTAGTTTTCATGAATTTGACATTAGTTCACAACATGCATTGTAGCAACAACACTTTATATGGAAGGTGTCGGTTTCCAACATACAATCAATACCGAAACTTGTGGCTACATTGAATCTCTTCTATTTTCTCCAATTAATATCAGTGTTTGTGTCAGTGTTGTGTTCAATGTCTGCATCTCTTAGAGCGAAAATCTCCAGGATATCCTCGTAACAGTTGCGGAAGTGTTATTTAGTTATTGATATCTTTATGTTGAGCCTTAGTTGCATGATATATGATTATCTTCTGATAACAATTCCAAATGAGGCATTCTTCATTAGTGATGAAATTTACTATCTTATGTTTGCTCATATAAGATTTATTCAATTTGATTCAATAGCTTGATGCTAGCTAGGATTAGGATATGGTATAAGCTAGATTTTTGAGAATAATGTTCCGTGTATAAGGATGTAACAAAAGAAACAAAAAATGGAAACTCAGTGATGAACAGTGAAGTAATATTGTTGAATCATGCTTTCTTTCTTAATCATCATCCTCATAATGTGACAACCTTGAGTTTTGAAAAGGCTCTAAGCTGTGAGAGGAAGGTGCCGTCTCCATTGTGAGGTCAAAACCATGGTTGAAATTGTTCATGTTCACAAGGTTGTTGGTTGAAGCTGATGAATTGTTGGAGTATGCCGGTTGCACAGATACATTGAAGTTTGATTGCTGTAGTATTTGTTGCTGCTGCTGGTGTGTGGTTTGAAGAGTACTTGCATACGCATATCGGCTATTCATCAGTTGAGATTGCATCATAGAAACTTCTGCTTGCATTGCTGCCACCTGGATTTGCCATAAGGTAAGTTTTTCATTATTCTGCTGTTTGCTGAAAATTCGTTGAAAGGAAACTAAAAGGTGTGTCTGCGTCCGTGTCTGTGTCCGACTTTTGTGATTACGATGTTTTAAATTATTACCGGTGTTGACGTGTTGGTGTTGTGTTTGGTGTCCGTGTCTGTGTCCGACTTTTGTAAATGGTTTATGAAAAGTGAATAGATGCTGCAAAACTATAGAGATAGATTAATATTCTACACAACCTGTTGCTGTAAAGCAAGAATAGTGGACACACAACCATAAACCGGATCCGATAGCCTAGCTTGAGCCTCATAGGATATAGTCGCCGCTGCTTCTTGGCGGTGTTCAGTCGGAATATTGAACAAAAGCTTTGACACATTGCTAGCACCAAACACCTTGTGCACAGCCGCAAACCTGGCTGCACCTTGATCTGTACCAAAGTAAGGTGCAAAAATGCATCCACCACTACACTTCCTCCTCAAGAATTTACATGCCCCACAAGGCGCTACAACCGATACATCTTGCGTTGTCGCTCCTGCAATGGCTCGCTTTGCAGCATTGGCACCTTTACTACGCCTAGTTCCCGAACCACTCTGTGACTCTGCCATAGTAATAGAAAATCACGCGACCGATGCAATGGTTGCAGATTGCAATTTAAAACATTGTTGGATGGATGTTTATATGTGAAGTTTAGTGAGGGGAGTGAACGTTGGTCATGTGAATGATGTGTATTTATGAGGAAAAAAGAAAGAGTTTAAGGTTGGTGAAGGAGTGTGTGAGTTGCACGTGGTAAGGTTATTGGCGTGTTTGTTAGATTGTGTGAATAAAATATTAACTAGGAAGAGAAAATGACGGTTTGTGTGAAAAGGTTGTCTTTGTGGAGAGCACAAGAACTGCGTAGTCTTTGCTTCTCTTACCGTGTAGAAGGGAAAAACCAAAGACGTGTGTGCTTTTCATGGCTATGCACTCATACGAGATTATTTTTTTTCTTTTCTTTTGTAGAAATATAAAGGACACTTAAACTATACTTTAGAGACTTTAACAATGTCTTGAAACCCGGTTTGACAATCTACTCGGCAAGGTCAAAGGGTCTAGTTGAACGAGAGAATCACTAGTTGAACTCAACTGCATAACTGAATCAGATTAAATCGGATGATTTTGATATATAACTTGATTTAGTAATGGATATTAAATTTCTTCGGGGTGATGCACGACTCACCTTAAATATGATTATCTATGAAAATACATATGAAAAAAAATATCAATGTTATAAAAATTGAATAGAATTAGACAACTCAAACAATAAATTGATATTGTTTAAATTTTGACTATTTGAATGGTTAGCCTACGGTTTTGTCTTGATTGAGTTATTTTTAAAAAATTGAATTATGACTTTAAGCTCTAATAGTTTGAACTCTTGTTCAATTTTTAAAACTTGATCAACTTTAATTAACTTGAGATTTATTCAATAATTTTTAGCTTAAGACTATATAATACACCTTCTTTCTCTACTTTAAAAAACTCAATTTTTAAAACTTGATCACCTTCTTTTTTAGCTTAAAAATTGAGCTCTAAATTTAAAACTATATAATACACCTTCTTTCTCTACTTAAAAGTTTCAATTTTTCTGATTCAAATCAAGATCTCCACAACTAGAATTAACTTAATAATTTTCTTCTCAAAGTAGCAAAATCCATAGATCAACATTAGGAGAAGTTTTAAGTTTTGTCATGAAATCAATACTTTAATAACTTTGATATTGTGAATTACAAAACTCACATTCTCTTAACATTAATCTTGTAAAGCCTTTAGTATTATCATTACAAAATATCTATGATTTCGCAAAAATCACGTGAATCCAAACACGCACTGAGTTTGAAAATGCAACTCCAACCACAAGACGATACTAATGGAAGTTCATACGTCGAGACGGTAAAGGCGAAAGGGGAGAGCTATCACTACTTAGAGACTCTCCTCCTCTCCATGCATCTTGAACTTGAGAAGCAAATTGCAAATTCCACAAAACATCTTCTATAGAAGGCCTATCTTCCATCTCTTTAACTAAACACCTCACACAAATCTCCATCATTGTCTTCAACGATTGATCCAAACACGCGTTACGAATCGACGAATCTATAATGCTTCTTCTAGCTTCATCATCTGATATTATACTTGCTTGCAACTGCATCATCAGATCACAAATATGAAAACAAACTCATAAACTTGCAAACTAATAATTCGGAAAATATCGAATAAAAAAAACCTCTATATTATTACCAAGTCCTTCAAGGTTTCGACATTTCTCGACTTTATAGTCCTTCCTAGAATGAGTTCCATTAGTATCACACCAAAGTCATATATATCAGACTTGTCTTCACTTTTTACACTGCAAAAACAACATCACTACTATAAAGTTGAGTTCATTTTGCTCAAAACTAGACTCGAATTCGATCACGAACCTTTTGTTAAAGCTAGGACTTTTCGATAACAAAGGCATGTTATAACTACTGATTTTGGCAACAAAGTTCTGATCCAATAAAACATCCGTGATTTTGATATTGTTCGAGTATACGCCAGGAACAATCTCCGTATGCAAAAATTGAATTCCTTTCGCTACTCCAGTTGCAGCCGCAACACGTTGAGTCCAAGTAAGCGACTTTCTATAATGCCTATCTGCGCACAAAATCACAATCATCGTGGTTGCAGTTACGCTACGAACCTATATGTAGCAAAATGTAACTCATGCGGTCGAAATGGATGAATTACCTGAGATCCAGCTCTTGAGTGATCCATTTGGTACATACTCAAAGACGATAAATATTCGTCTGACATTTGAATCGTCCAAGTAATGTTCAAAGCAATGTCCAAGAACACTAACTAAATGATGATGCCGGAATTTTGATATCATTTCTATGTGCTGCATGAAATCTTTAGTCTTGTAGCTTTTGGTCAGTTTTACACTTCTAATAGCAACTAGTGAACCTTCTTTTAGTTGGCCTCTATTCATCTAAACCATAAAAAGTGATTAAAGTTAAGTTGAATTTGTATAATAACTTCATAAGTTGATTCTGTAGAGTTGAGTTAAGTGGAGCTTAAAAATTAGCTTAAAATAAGTTGCATACCTGTCCTTGAGAACCTTCACCACCCATAAAAGAAGTAGTGTCAAAGTTGTTAGTAGCTGCCATAATCTCTTCTAGGGAAAAAGCTCTATAAGGTGGTAGGCCAACACTTCCAAAGTTCATTGTTTTAGATACATACCCTAAGTAGAAGACAAACAAATTACTATCATCTATCATTAAAATGAAAGAATACAAAAAATTAAGATTCATCGGTATTAAGATTCTGATAACTTAACCAGAGTCGTTAAGTTTTTGAAGGTCGTGTCTATGTTAGTTACCGTTTTTATATGACAAAACAACTAGGGATCTTATTAGTTATGATTTTAATCGTGACATATCTATCACGAGGTCCTATTTAATCTTAATTTAACGGTGAAAAATTTGAGACCCTATGCTGTAGACTATCTTACAGACCCTCAAAGACGTCCCTGAATATGCATTGCAATCAAAATCACCCTCAAAGACGTCCCTGAATATGCATTGCAATCAAAATCTCTTATCTATGAATTCCTAGAACATGTAATGAACTATAGTCTGGTTCCGTTCGGGACGTGCCATTAACAGTTCAGTTCGAATTTAACCAAACTGATTGTAACTGTTCGGTTCGGTTTTCTTTCTGAACGGAACCGTGAACAATCCTAAGCACAAATAAATCATAGGGTGAGAAATTTACTTACCTGCATCAGTGATTAACTTAGAAGTGTATCCAGAAGCTGCATTTTCTGATATCAATTTTGTTTTAGAATTCTTCGTCATCATCATGCTTTTACCGTTTTTTCGTCTAATAATACTAAAAATCAATGCAAGAAGTGCGAATCCTCCGAAAACTCCACCAACTATCCCGAAAGAAAGAACTGTTTTAGAAACTCTTTTATGCTTCTTTCTCTCATTAGGAACTATTCCAACAGCTATAGCTTCAGTGTGACAGAAAGATTGTTCATGTTGATTTTGATTTCGATTCGTTTCCTCAAAACAATTTCCACCATACAAGAAACTCCTATCATTGGAATTCGACACTAAACATTTCGGTAATTTTCCACTCAAAAGATTCGAAGACAGATCAACTTCTTCTAGAACCGAATTACACGACAGATTCTCAAAAAGCATTCCTGATAATTTGTTTCTCGAAATGTTGAGATAAGTAATCGAAGGAAGTGAAAACAATTCTAATTGAATCGGTCCAACGAACGCATTTCCCGAGATGTCGAATCTCTCGAGTTGATAATACGAACTCATGTTATCAGGTAAACTAGACCTAAACTTGTTGTTTCTTAGACTGCAAGTAACCAACTTGTTACAAATTCTAGGAAAATTAGGTCCAAATCCATTATCATCCAACTCCAACACTTGAAGATTAACCAACCGGCTCAAATCGGGCACCGATCCGTTGAAACGGTTACCAGAAAGCGAGAGAACTCGCATATTCGTCAAGCTACTCAGCGAATCAGGAAGCGAACCGTTGAATAAGTTTTGTTTCAAATTCAAAACAGTTAACGACGGAAACGAGTCCAACCAATCGGGTAAATGTCCATCAAACATATTGTTATCGAGAACGAGTGCTTGAAGATTCGAAAGCAACGGAAGCTCTTGAGGGACAGTTCCATATAGAAAATTCGAACTCATGTTAACAATCTCTAAAGATGATAAACTCGCGATTTTTCCGGGAAGCGGACCCCATAACCCTAAGGAAACTAGTGTGAGGACTTTAAGAGACGGAATGCGTGAAAGTGTTGCGAAAAATGAATCTACTGAGAAGTTTTTCGGAAGAAGTTTTGCTGTTGTTTCACCGACTATGTGAAGCTGAGTTATGGTTTCTTCATAGCATACAACAGTTAGAGAAGCTTTTGAATCTGTGTTGCAAAAATCAGTGTTTGAATTCCACGTGCTTAAAATCGAAGGGAAGTTTAACAGGCGTTTGATTCTTAGAAGAGTGTGAGTATGTGAAGATTGAAGATGAAGTTGGTTTGTGTAAGAAGTTGAAACAAAAATTGTAACTAAAACTAGAAGCACTTTTGAATAGAGCTTATTTTCCATTGGTGAGTTAAAGCATGCAATAGATGAGAGAAATTTAGATCATAGTCTTCTCAATGAAGCTTGGTTCTTCTCCATAAGCCCTACAATTTCAAGGAGTGAAAACTTCATCATCCATGATAAATTTAGCAAGAATTTATTTGAACGATGATACGTTATTAAGAACATGTTTGGATCGACTTATTGAGTTACGGCTACATCAGACGCAGTTATCTGCAATATCAAAGTTTGCAGTGTAATTGCATCTGCGGCCGCAACTTATGATCCATAGAATGTATGAAGCTAAATATTTTGAGTTAATCCAATGCTACATTTCTTCGAAGTTCAAAGAAAAATCATAATTTTATGAGAAAATCATAGAAAATATAGAAACTTAAGAAAATAAAGAAAAAAAACAATGAAAGTACAAATACCTTAAGAACTTGTAGCCACTTGCAAAATCAACTTAATTGATCAAACTCAATTTTTGTTGCCAGAAAACATTCAGAAACTGATAAATTTTTCTTATGTGTGATTATTTTTTCTCTGAACACATGAAGGAAAATTGGTGTCACAGATTGAAAATGAAGACACAAATGAGAGGACCAAAATTCAGACATAAGGACACTTCATTGTTGTCACTTAGTATTAAATGAATGAATGTAGAAACCATTTTTCTTCACTTTTTCTTTGAAAGGTCTTAAAGGGAAGCCATAGTAACTTGATAAGGAAAAGAAAAAGAAAGATTCTTGAAAGAGAAGATGAGTGACTACCCTTTATTCTTTCATTATTAATCTTCAACATGTCATCATGTGTAGTCCAATAGATTTTGTTTAAAAAAACATTGACATTAACATGTCTTGTTTTTGTTTGTTTGTTTTTTTCAATAGAAATCGAGAAATTGAATATCCGTAAAGACTAATATCTCAAATCAGAAAAGAATACAATCGAAAAAGTATTTAATACTGCTACGTGTACAAGACTGAATTCGAACTTAGGACATCAAGAGAATTTAATATTTTGTTTTTTTATTTAACTATAATAAAATTTATTCATGTTATAATTAATATTTTTATATGTAAAATATTTTATTTTATTTTAAAAATAAATATTATAACTGTCAAAATAATGTAAACAAATTTTGGGGTGATGTTTATTAAAGATGGCTTTAAACTGAGAATATTGTGACTTCAACTTTCACTTTCTTGGACAGGTATGTTTTGGCTTTATTATATTATTTCAACTTTTTTCATGTCCCCTTTATTTTATATGTATCCTTTGCTTTTTGGAGCTTTGCTTTTGTTAGGAAAGAAACCAGCAGAAGTTAAAAAGAGCACACTTATTTTACATGATTCCACAAGCTGTTCATAATGATATAGTGAGCAACTCTAGGGTTTATAGTTAAATAGTTCAAGAATAAGAGGAATCAAAATTTTGAGAGAAAATATGATATCTACTTATTTTGAAATAGGTTAGGGCATATGTCTCTGATTATTTGATTGAATGTGATGTTTTTTTTGGATTACTAGTTTAGTGAAGATTGTACGAACACCTTCTACCCATTTAAGTTAAATAGACTTAAATATTATTTATATTAAACTCAAAAATATTGCAAACATATACAAATATAATATGACCCTCTAACTTATAAAGCGCATTGAAGCAAGATCCCCAATGTGTACCAACGTCTTTAAAGTCTTGTTGTGAGAATAATGTAGTGTCATTAAATATCTATATAAAAAATTGAAGGAAATTGAAGATCAGATGATTTGATATAATAACAAACTTAAACATTAATATGTTATTGTGAATATATGTACCTAGTCTCAAGAATCAATAACGTCTGCATAGACAATGTTTAACATGTGTTTCATGACAAAAAAATCATAGTCGCATCTTCCTTTATGTTTTCTCTTCTACAAATTTTAACACTACACGAATATATAACCACACATGTAAAACTATACATAAATGAATGTCACAAGTAATCCACTTGGCGAAGATATACAAAAAGCGGACCTTTTATTTCTAACTCCGTTCAACATATGGCGTCGCTCCATAACTCTGTATGTTGAAAATAATATATACACATTGCACACTAAGCTAATTACAAAGTCAAAGAAAATATTACTAAAAGTCTCATTAATATAAGTTATGAGACATCTAAAGTGAACTCTCCAGTTGTTCTTTGTCGAACCCTCTTTCACTTCTCATGTTGTGATGATGGGTGGGTTGCGATCACAACTCATAGAGTCCCCATCTCCCGTTTGTCATTTTTTTATTAATTAATATTTCCTCAAGTTTCTTGTGACCCCCATGAGACAATCTAAGAAGGTATTTATTCTTTTCTTGTTTATTTTTTTTATTCACTTTTAACATCTTATAAACATAGTGAAAATATTAATTTGCATGGTTGTATTTGAAGGTTGAGAAATACAAGAAGGGGGAGTTTGAATTGAGTTTCACATTTTGTCCTCTTTTTCGAAATTAGAAGAATAAATATAACAATGACAATAAAAATAAATTACACAATTATTTTAATCCTGGTTCACTGTTAACGAAGTTACTCCAGTCAACCCCTTAAGGTGATTTCGCCTTATCACAAGGACTTAATCCAATAATCATCAACGATTACAACCACAATGGATAATTTCCATTGCCTTCTTGACAATCCTGGCATTCATTCGCCTCTCAAGGAATCAACCTCCAAGCCGCTAACAACGACTTGACCCTCTCAAGCTTTCTGGTTATCACTCGACCGCTCAAAGAACAACATTCATTAAGCCGTTAGAAACACACTTAGTCATCTCAAGCATTTCGGTCTTCACTCGACCGCTCAAGGAACAACACCTTTTTCAAGGATTTTCTTTGTTTACTAATGTGCTTCTTACAAGCTGATTACAAAGATGTAGTACATGAACACCTAAGTGTTTCTAAGCAAGATATGAGCAACAACTCCTTACTTTCTAATACAGAAAACTATCTAAAGAATGAATCTCGGAGAGATTATAAAAAAAATTAGTTCTGTATTGCTTAGAAGCTTTCTTGATGAGCATTGTGGCTTCTTTTCATAAGCTTTTAGCTTCTCTTGATTAACTTCTTCTTGAGCATATAATATTTTTTCCAGTTTAACCATCAAGATCAACTAAGTTATTATGCTTCACTTATTGATGTTTCACTTGACTAGTTTCACATGGCTTCAGCATGTTACATCGTTGTACGCACTTCAATTGCTTGCTTCAGCTTCATCTTTATTAAGCATTCTTCATTTAAGCTTCAACTTGTAACATTTTCTTCAACATTTTGGCTTTGTATAGTAGCGTGCTATCGTCAACAACTCTCTATCTATATTTTGCACATGTTCAATTCTTCAAGCTTTTTGATCTTCAATTTATAGAGCTTGAGAGAATAGACCCGTTAGAGGGTATTCTTGGAAACATATTCCAACAGCCCTATCCCAATGTTCAAGTAAAGGAATGGTCAACATCACTGTACAAAAAGCTTCTCCTGCGTCACCTTTTCGAGGTAGAGGTAACAGAGTTTTAGTACTATTATATTCAGTTTAAAAACCACCCTTATCTTCAGTCTTCTAGTATCTTTAGAGGCTTCAGATATTAACTTGATGAAATGTGTTGTAGAAGAGTCTTTCTTTGTGTAATCTTCAGAACCACAGTCTTTGGAATCTCAGATCTTCGTTCAGCGGAACCTTGTCATAAGAACCTTCAGCACTTGGTATCTTAGAAGCATAATCTTCAGAGTCTTCAGAACTTGTTCTATCAGAACCTCATCTTCAGAGTCTTCAGATTTCATTAAGCACACTTTTGTCTTCAGAGTCTTCAGCACTTCGTTCATTCAGAACCTTGTCTTCAGAAACTCTTCAAATCTTGATCCTTAGAAATGGCGTCTTCAAAACCTTCAGAGTCTTGTTCACCAGAAGCATGTCTTTAGAAACTTCAGAACTATATCAATGTAAATCATATTTCTTGTAAAGCCTTCTAGGCTAACTTATAAAGTATCAATCAGAAACTCCATTACTAACTTTCCTTAGAACCGTTGCATTAGAAGTATTTCGGAGTCTTGACTTGTCTTGTATATATATATATATATATATATATATATATATATATATATATATATATATATATATATATATATATATATATATATATATATATATATATATATGTGTGTGTGTGTGTGTGTGTGTGTGTGTGTGTGTGTGTGTGTGTGTGTGTGTGTGTGTGTGTGTGTTTTTCTTCCAGAGTGTAAATAATAGAGTTTGATGACATCACACATCTTCTTGTCATAGTCAGAATCATATTGACAACAACCACACACTAGACAAAAACCATATCATACATAATTGTTCCTTTAGATAACTTGCGCAGTTATCATCAAAACTTAAAGGCCAGATCTAGAACCAAATCTTGTTCTTACAATCTCCCCATTTTTAATGATGAAAAACAATGCATTTTGATAAACAATTCATATAGGGTAATCGCCATAAATCCACACAATCAGAGATAAGCTTAACAGGCTCCCCCTGATTCTGTTACTCTTAAATTTTTTTATGCCTGTTCAGAGTCTTCCCCTGATCCCAAGACTCACAAAATAATTTTAAATTAGAACCATATCAACAAATAAGGATTACTTATCAATGACGTCTCATTAAAATCTGACTAGAATTGGTTGGTCTTCATCTCAGAACCAAGCTTGCTATCAGAGTACTGTAGACGTATTAGAACCTAGTTTGTCTTATCAGACTTGATGTCTTGCATTATATCTCAGAAACTGGTAGATACTTTCTTAGATGCCATGTATCATGTATCAAAATCAAATCTTCAATATCTTAGCACAAATCACTAACAGGTACACAATCCCTTATGTCATTTGATGGTTCAGAAACCAAATATTTTCTTTAATAACCATGAATTAATTTGATCTCCAAAGGATTTACATTCTTTTAATGCTGGAGTCTAGATACCATTTGAAGTTTTGGATACCAATTAAATTTTGGATACCAT